TATCTACTCTAATTTTGAATTTAGCCACCAGATAGCGTATTCAAGTGCTAGAGATCCCAATATTATTGCATCTAAACAAAAATATTTGCCATTTAAAAAAAACGCGTGGTAAGATAATACTTTAAAAATCATCTTTTTATACATGAACAAAATATTATACAAAAATTAACTCATAAATATTTTTTAAACAATTCTCGTATTAATAAAATCATCATGTTATTAGTTTAAAAAAAAAAATAAAGTGTACAGATGCAGCAAGGATAAGGTAATTAAAAAATCAAATGCACACACAAACACATACATATTGAAAGAACTATATAAATTGTCGATAACCAACCAGGTAAGCAATAATAATACTAATAATAATAATAATAATAATGTTAAAATTACGAAAAGATTTCGCGCAAGGTCTTTTTTCCTACGTTTCTTTTTTATTTCTGACTCACCCAGGATATCAGCTATTAAAATTAAATGAACTTTACAACAATACTGAGAATATTTTCTATAGTAAACGATACTCTCTTCTAAATCTTATTCACCCTGAACAACGTTTAGAAATAATTATAATAAAAAAAAAAATAAAAAAAAAAATACAAATTGTATACTAAAAATATTTCAGAAGACGATTTAAAAAAAAGAAAAGAAAGAAATTGATTGATAAAAAAAAACTCGAGTTATTATTAGATGGTTCGTAAATGGTTAGAGATGGTTTCATTTTTTGCTGACGCAATAATGATTGCATTAGTTCATGCAAACCGGCAAATAGTAACACATGAGATCGATCGGAGAGGTTACATTTATCAACTGCAATTGTTTATGCCCCTAAGTTTTAGGTTAGGAAGCAAAAATTGTCTTCATTTTTACAAAAAAAAAACAAAACAAAACGACTTTTCGAACCACCTAATATTTCAAAGCAAAATTTTGAACAAATACGAACTATTAGGTTAACAAGTAAATAATTGTGGATTTTGTCGATAGATGGCTTTTTTAAAATCAGCAATGACTTAATTGCCAACCCAATACTTTAATGTTTTTACCTTCGTGATGTTCGCTTTCAAAAAAAAAAATAAAAAAACAGCAAGAATCGTAGCACGTAATTTCAAAGAAACGCATAATGCGTTTCGGTAATGTGGTTTAAAAAATCTTTTAGCATCGTTAACGACGATAATAACACACCTATTTTTCTTCGTAGAGGATTTAGGGAAGAGGAGGATATAAAGAAAACGAAGGTAGAATAAAAAGAAGAAAAAGAAAACAAAAAGAAAAAGGCAAACAATATGGCAACGCGCCAGTAGTAATAACCGGCCATTGTCGAACCTTACGTGTTGACAGAGAAAGAAAAAATGAGAAGGGAATCGAGACGTAAGGGGAATGGTTTGTCATTTTACAAATTGTCAATGAGATCTTTCTTTTGCGATTAGGAAAAACAAGCAAAGCCGTAACAAATTGCAATTTTACTCTCTAGTAGTTGCGGCAAATTGTTAACAACGTAATCATTCCTCATTCAACACGTTCCTTTTCTTTTTTGAACAAAATACACGTCACCAACACACTGCGTATAAGTTTGTTCATATCTCGCGGTTTAAAAAAAAAAAAAATCTCATTGGATAAAAAATCATTTTAAGGTTAGTTATAATAATAATAATTATAATAATTTTAGAAATGAAAAATCAGACCACAAAAATAAAATCTTTTTGGAAGAAGAACAGGTGAGGGTTCAATGTTGATAAGTTAGAGAAGAAAAAATAAAAAAAAAAACAATGTTAGGAAAAGATAGTGCAATAGTATGTACAAAGCATAGAATTAAAAACCTGGATGAAGTAGAAAACGGTAAGAATCCCGACGAGGTTGTACGATGGGAATCTCTGATTCGATATTAGTTGACTCACGAGAGTGGGTCCTGTCCGGTTTCATGTAATTCCTTATATTAACACCTATGCTTTGTTGGACGTCTCTAACGTAGACACCTAAATCTGGAGTCATTGGTGATAAATCGGCAACTCTTGGCTCGAAAACATCGGTTATTCCAAGCTATCAAATTAAAAACACACAAAGAAATTTTCTTCATTATTCAATTTGACCAATAATCAATAACAAAATTAAATGAGTTAAAAAAAAGAAGAAAGAAGGAAATATTTTCGAAGAAATAAATTGTACTTTTTTTTTGTTATTTCACAGAAGGATAGAACAAAAAATTAATTATTTCTTTAGCGCAATTAACGTGATTAAATAATTAAGAAATTAATGTCCGAGACTAATGATGCAATATCGAACACAACCTAACCCGGAAGATAGAAATAATAATTGCTTTTGAAAGTCTTGTATATTTTTTGTTTTTTTTTACTTTTTTGACAACACGCTACAATGATCACCGAGACGTTTAAAACGACATTGGGATGAAGAATGTGTGAAAGAACTTGAAGAAAAAAAAAGATAGTTAAGTACTCACTCTTTGAAGGAAAGGCGTAAGGGTGACAAAACCTCGTAACATGAAGGAAGGTATGGTAGCCCTGACCCAAGCTGGTTGCAATTGCTTCCGTAACCATCTCAATGACTTCCCGCCGAGATTTCTCGCAAGACGATGCGTATCTGTTCTATCCGTCGGCATAAGAAGAAGAATGTTGTATCTCGGATCCTTGAACAAAAAGAATAAGCATCATCATCTTTCATCGTGTTCCACGAGACAAACCACAATACACACACACAGGAGTAATCTTATAATCTTTTTCAATGGTTCTTAAACTTCAAAGTAAACAGACGGTGTATCTAATCATCCAATAAACTCAGCTTTTCATTTTGAGATAAAAAATACTGTCCTGGATAATTAAATTCATGCATTCGTTGTTTTTAAAAAAGCAATTTTACTGCTTACGTCTAAAGGAAATTCAACAGCAACAGCTTGCAACGATGGAAAGTACGCAAAAGGTAGAACAGCAACGTATCTGGTGGCCATTACCGAGGATACATCGCAACCATTCACCAAAAATGATATTTCGGTAGAATCCCTAACGGAAGCTTCATTTTTAACGATCGGATTGGTTTTCCAAATGCCAAGGTCCTGCATCCAAATACCCTCGTCTGAAAATAAACAATGAATATAAGATTAATGATCTCATCGTTGATTGATAATCGGCAAACAAATATTTAAGTAACCTGGATAACTGGAGAAGTATCCACGTGAATTTCTAGTACTTCGTTTGCGAAGCCGATTCCCTGAGGCATCAGTTAACGTAACTGGAACAGTGGTGGTAGTTTCTTGTCCATCCTGGTTCATAGAATTCGTAGATCCAAGGTCCACAATACCGGGCATAGTAATTGGTCCACTCGTTGTCGGCTGATTTGTCGAAACGGTACTTTCATCGGTGGGAGGTACGACCTCGAGATTACTCGGCATGTTCGCCGTTACGGAAACCGAAGTCGTTGTTATATTCGTTTGGATAGGTGTAGACGTATCCATAGGCAAGGTCATTGCCTCTGTCTGACCACTGGTCGAATCCATTGAACTACCTTGCATATCCAAAGATGTTATTGGTGCAATTATCGTAGTAACAGTTAAAGTACTCGTTGTTGGCATCATCATCATCATCATCGTTGTGTTTCCCATATTTTGCATCGAATTCGTAGTTGCAGTGTTAACCGTTGTCTGAGATTCAGTCATAGTCGTAGTAGTTGTACTCATACTATCAGAAATATCCGGTATAATTGTACTCGTATCTTCGATAGTTGTTTGGCCAACAGCCATCGTACTTTGCATTGTCTCCGACTGCGTTGTAACAGTTGGTAATTGTATAGAAACTGGTGAATTTGGAGACATAGTTTCCAAGTTTACGTCGGATACAGTTGTCGGAAGGGTATTAGACTCGGTCACGTTTGAAATCTCAGCAGTAGTAGTAATATTAGACATTTGCGTTAGATTTTCCGATACCATTTTATCATCGATTGTAGTTCCAAATGTTTCGGTCATAGAAGATATCGTTGAAGTTACGGGTAACTCTGTAGACTCTGTGATAACTGGGGAGGAAACTGAGGGTTGACTAACGTCGATTATTATTGTCGTTGGTTTAGTCGAATCTTCTGATAATGATTCAGTGGTAGGTGGTGCATTTGTAGTTGTCGTAGTATCGTTTAATTCATTCTCATCCGTGTCAGATAGATTGAACCCGTAAAATCGTAAAATGTCTTCGTATTCTGTTCGAAGTTTAGTATTTTCTTTGTTTAACGTTAAACCACCCAAAAAACCATCGGCGTTCAGGTAAGTCTTGAAAAAAAAAAAAAAATAATAATTAATTTATTATAAAGCAGCCAATACTCATTGACGACGATTTCTTTGAAAGAAATTTCATCATTGTACGATAAAAAAAATGACAAAACAAACGATTAAGGGAAAACTAATGTCGCGAAACGTGCCACGGTCTATCGAGATTTACGCAACATTTACAAATTACTAGAATTCTTACTCTCAATCGACGATGAATATCACGAAAACCAATTCTTGTGATATCCCGTTCGTGTGGCAAAGCCAATGCTTCTGCTATCTGACGACTTCCACCACCAGCTGATCCTTCGTAAAGGGCAGCAAGAACAAATGCAACACCGATCGGTGAAAATGCAACGTTTCCAATATTATTGTATTGTTGAAGTATCCTCACACCAAGATCGTTAACAATATCGGTAACAACGTCGACTGGTCGACGTGCAACCGGTTGATACCAACCATCGAAATCTGTTTCTTGATACGAATGTGCGAGAACGGATGACACTGAAAATAAAAAAACAAACACAAAATTATCTCATAAAACATTTATATTACTTAATACAAATATTGAAGTATATAAAATCTGTCAAAGTTTGAAATTATTTTAATACTACTGTTCAATCATTTTTATTTTTATTTTTTTTTTTTTTTATTACCATTGAATCAACAAATGTCATAAATAGTAGTAGCTAAAGAATAATAAGATGGGATACAACAAAGATCAAGAAGGAAATCAAAGAATAACACATGTTAAAATATCAACCAAAAAAAAACACACACACACACGCACATCTTGTAAAAATAAGAATCACGTATGAAAAAGAACAAATAATCTTGAGTAATAAAAACCATAATACTTACGTTGCAATAATAAGATCCAGATCGGTGATATTCCCATTTCTTTTTATTTCTCGTTTTACTCTCACGTAAAGTTGTCTTCTTCAACTTTGGATCTGGTTCTCTCTTTCTCTCTCTCTCTCTCTCTCTCGGTATTCGTAAGATTTGATTTCACCTCATGGGTATCGGCAAACGAGACGACTCATCGAACCGTAATTTCTCGATTAACTGAAAGACTATATAAAAGAATGAAATAGTATCGTTAAGAGCTCGTCGTGTGCTCGTTTATCCGAGCACAGTGTGACAACGTCGGCGTTTATTAGGATTAGTCCTAGTCTCGCGCGTTCTACGACTGAACTGGCTCTCTCAGATGGCTCACACCGCCAGTTCCGAGCTCGCTGCCGGCCATTCCAGGATTTTTTTCAACGGCAAGGTCATCAGGTGGACAACCCCGCATCCTGCCGTTCCTCATCCTATAGCTTTCCCACCTACCAACCTTCGATCTTCTTGTCAAAATAACTTTGACATTAAACTCATAATTAATCAAAAACAAAAATATCTAACTCCAATTGTACATCCCTTTTTCTTTTTATTTTTCTTTCTTGATTTTCTTTTTTTTTTTTTTTTTTTATATGTCGTTTTGTATTCCTGAAAAAGATAAAAATTGTTTGAGTATATTTATAGGTTTCTTGTTAAAAAGATACGAAATTTTTGGAGACACACAAAAGTTGTTCGTTTCTTAACTTAACACGAAGATCCATCATATTATAGTCATGATAAATATACGAAACGAGTATTTTTTTCCACCACTCGTTATTGTTATTATATAGTTAGTTGTTGTACTCTCTACCGAGTCGAACGTGTCCATTTAACTTGACTCCAAACGTAGGAAGCTTATTATGTTTGAGCTTTTTTTTTTTGTTTTCTTCCCCCTTATGCGAAATGTTTGTTTTTTTTTGTTTTTTTTTTTGAGAGAGTATTACAGAAATGCAATATCCTGCTTTTCAACGAATACCTCACGTATATTATATAGTTATAAATTTCGTTGATTGCGCGTTCTAACGTAAGACGGTTGAAAAAACACGCCATGCGAAAACCCGGTTTTCGAGGAAGACAGTTTAAAGATAAAGAAAAAAAAGAAACAGAAGAAGAAGAAGAAAAAGAAGAAGAAGAAGAAGAAGAAGAAGAAAAGGATATATCCACAGCAAATAACGTTATGTAATTTCATGACTTTTACCTTGCTTACCAGGTAAGCACCACCACCACCACCACCACCACCACCATCACCACCATTACTACCACCATCACCATCACAAATCGTTGCTAAATACATTGAGAGGATCGACAGTGAAAAGTGCCTCTCTTGCGATAATTAACTCGCACTTGCAATTCTCCATCACACGGTATAATAATAATATTACGCGCGTGCAGGACCTTTTCCGTTTGCCGACCATTTCCGCCGATCCATCGTCGAAATCCTAGGATAATCAACTTGGACTTAAGCAACCTTAAGAATTGCAAACCTAAACTCAAGAAGTCTGATTTCCGTTTTAACCATAAAACAATAAAAGACCAGATATTTATTTTAATTGTAAGACATTGTTACTAAACATATTGTTGTATAAGGATAAATGTTAATTTATTCTTCTCAATATTATAATAAGAACGTTAAGGTATAACGATATCTTACGTAGACACGTGTATTCTTATTTCTTCAAAAAATAAATCTAATTTTAAGATACGAACGGTTGAATCAATTTACGTTCCTTCAATACTTTTCTTCTATGCCAATAAAATTCCCAGCAGAGAATAATGATCGCTAAAACTATTCCTGTTGAAAATTCAATTTATTTCTTTCATTTTTTTTTTCTCATCCTATATCTTGCACATATATATATTTTTGTTTATTTATTATATATATTACCCATGAAAAGTACAAAAAATATTCCTTGCATATCGGCAACGTTGACCTTACGTTTGTCCACAATTTCGTTAGAATTTGCACCTACCCAACATTTGTCTTTTGTTGGCATTTTTTCCGATATCCATTTATTTATCAAACCGGATTCATACATACGGTGCAATCTTAAATAAAAAAAAAAAAAAAAAAAAAAGAAACAAACAAATAATTTCTATATCACAATAAAACTTATTCAAGATGGATGTTGCTTGTCTTTTCTTTTATTTTCCAAAAAAAAAACAAAAATTGTTCAAAATCTTACTCGCTGTTTATGATCGACAAATAAGGACTGTTGTTAGGAACAATCATTGCAATAGGTTCAGCCATGAATTCTTCGGTACTCAATGAAAAATGACAAACACCACTGGATAACAAATCTTTTCTCATGAGAAATCTATCGTTAAAAAATAATGGCAAATTAAATGACAAATATTTTGACGAATAAAATCAAACATATATACCGCAAGGAACTTCTCCAATCGATGAATACGTGTTTGCCATCTTTAACTCGTCTAATAATATTTGCTTCCTCCGAATCGTTATGCCTTTCTGAACGAGAAAGAAGCAAACGATATTGTTCGTTTTCCGAATTTTGTAAATATTCCTCAAGAAAGCTACCATTAGGGAAACCCCATGTTAATCTGTCCTTGTGTGCGAGAAGATCGTCTACCGTTAAAATTGGGTCGTCCATTTTCGGGAAGGTCAGAAATGCAATTAAGCTTCCTGAATAAGTTGCCACAAGAACTGTTACAATCAACCACCAAACACCAACCAATATGCGAGCACTATCGGATTTAGGCAAATACATTCCACCTAAAATCCAAATTACATAATTTTTTATTTCTTTTTCTTTTTTATATTATATTCAAAATAATAAGAGGAAGATGAATTACCTTGCTGAAGAAGAGCACCATAGACATACCAAACACATTGCCAGGATGAATTCAAGCCGGATGTTTTCGTACTAGTTGGACTGTACTTGTGAACCAGGTACAAAATTGGACCCATTATAATAATAGCTGCGGCCAGACATGCCCAAGTCTGAAAGAGAAGATGAACAACTGTGAATGGTATAACATACGTTAATTCAAAAGATACAACGTCAAAACTTTATTAGTTTAACTTTGAAATTGGACTTGTCAGAAATTCGATTCGGTTTTAACATAAATGTCTACGTCAACATTAAGTTTCACTGTAGTTAAGTATAAGACAAGTAAAGGTTACTTAATTGAACTTTGATATGAATGATGAACATTATCTTAAAATTGTATATACCTCTTTGGTGAATGGTGAAGTAAATAGCAAAGCTCTCGACAATTGTGTCGGTCTTGACGTTAAGAAGCTATAAGTTTGAACGAAGATAGGTGTTGTGAAATTAATGGCATTCTTCTCAAGATCATTGACTGTATAAGCACATGCAGCAAGAAATACTTTTCTTGTTCTAACCATTTCTAACACCTCTTCCGGTAATTTTCTCGTTGCTGATGTCAAAGTTCCATGTGGTCTCTACAAATTTGTATATACATTTTATATATTATAGATTATAATTTAATTGTAAATTTAAATATTGCGCCTAAATATAGATTTCACGTCATACACGGTCGGTAATGATGGTTGCAAATATCAATTATCGGTAAGAAATTTGTGTCGAACTCCTTGAATAGGCAACCCGTTCATATGTATTAAACAAATTTGTTTTGTCTATTATCAGGAACTTTCAAAATTCAAAATTCAAAATTTATCAACATGAAAGAACTGACCTCGCCAACTTTTAACGTTTTAGTAGAACCACGAGCTTTCGTATTATTTGACATTTTAGGAACAGTAACAGTGTATGTAAAATTTAATTTTTTACTCAAATATTGGAGCACGTCAAAAACTAATCCACCGTAAATCATCTCATCTGTCTTCACCGCGTTTACTACTTGCCACGGTGGATTCTGAAACAAAACAAAACAAAAAACAAAACAAAAAGAAAACAACGATATTAATGAAGTTAAATATATTTTATATTATATTAAAGTATACTCACGTGAAAAGTTACAATAGGTAAACTTATACCCCTGAATCCATGTTCAATGTGAGGGAATATTACGTCGGATAAATTAACACCACGTCTTGGCATCCAAGTACCTGATTCAATTAAAATAGCAGACTTTCTATAATGAACAAAATAAGTTCCCCAAGTAATAGCTGATGAAATTTTCCAAACCAAACAATTTCCACATTTTCTATCAGATTCGTGTGACTTTTCTACAAATTGTGCCTGTAACATACAAAAGAAAACATTACATACTGTTAATTATCAAACTCATTAACCAACAATTCAATAATAATAATAATAATGTCTTACATCAATGTATTTGAGAATGTGTCGATATATTTGAAACTTGGTTGGTCTGAAAGTTTCATGTTCCACATCAGTAATGTTCTCGGACAAATTATTCTTCATTTGAAATGAATTTTTCAAAGCATTCGTAAAATATCGTACAAAGTCATTGACATGACAGAGAAGATCGACCTAAAATATACAAAATTGATTGATGACGAAATTATATTTTTCTTGTATATAATATTTATATTAATCAAAAGGATTACATTACAGGTATCATCAGATTTAGTAATATTATAAATAAGAGCAACGTTTCCACCCTCTGGTAATAAATCTGCGAGATATGTTATATTCGTTTTATTCCTTTTTTCGGCGTCTGTGAGTACGTATAACCATTGATTACCGGAATGAACCAGTTTTAATGATTTAGCCTTGATAAATAAAAATATATAAACATATATGTATGCACTGTCTCAGTGTCAGTTGCAAGTTTAGGATTACCAAAATATAAAAATGTTCATTGTATGCATTATATATACAAAATTGAATGAATTAATTAGAATAAAATTAACACGTTGATCTTACAACTTTCATAACATCTGTGATCGTATCGACATTAACGATAATAAGGAAACAATTGCCCAATTGTTGTATGTGAAAGTTACCAAGTATACCCCTTATATGTTGTCTCCTGACCCACTCAGAAGTAAAACGTTTAAAGGAAAATATTGACTTGGAAATAGTGTTCAACTTCGTATTCGGTAGATCACCCGTTATGGCTCTAATTACTGCGTCTATTTTTTCCTTTTCTAAAACAACATAAAAAAAGAAGGAACAAAGTAGTCGTCACATATCCTTCATATCCTCGAATGGAATAAAAAAAAAAAAAAGAAATAAGATTAGATTAAAATTGTACGTATACTGTTGATGTGATTACCAAAAGAATCGTCGTGCAAAATGATAACATTTTTCCAAGACAATGCGTGAGCAATACGAAGATCTAAAAAAATTTGTGCCAATTCTTCACCAGGAACAATCAATGGGACACTTATACCATGGTTTATTCGAACACGTGGACAATTAGGATCTAAAATAATAATTAAGATTAATTGTTAATCTATTTAAAACAAAAACACACACACACACAGACAAATTATTAGATCTAACGTTAATTATCTTGACTATATAGATTATCATTATCTTTCAAGATCATTATATTTACCTGTTATCGCGAGATGTACAACTCCAGATTGTCGTGCTGATTCATGTAAATGCCACGTTTTATCGCATGTTGCAATCGACAATAATACCGTGTAATCTGTTAAATCGTAATAATCAATGAAAATAGAAATAATTTATCTAATTTAAAGAAACATCTCTTTTCTTACCTTTTCGAAGATCAACGTTCGTGTCATGCAATGCTTGTACAATTAAATAACCAACGTGCATTTCTTTATTTGCAATTTCGTTAATCGAATCTAAGATAATCGTACGTGCTTTTAAATAATCCAAGTTTTTTCCCGTGAAAAATCCTTTGTCAATGACGACAGCTATTTATAATAAACAAAAAAAAAAATAGTATTCAATAATTGTATACAATCAATAATAATTACTACTCATAAATAACTATGATGCATACAAAATTTACTATGATAAAGGCAAAAAGAAGATAAATAAAAATAAAAAAAAAAAAAAAAAGGTATGAGTTAGATTTTAAACTAATCACATTTAAAATCAATTATACACGAATAGTTATGATAAACATATGAGAAATTACAATGATAAAGCACAAGAAGAAACAAAAAAAATATATATTCGTAGTAGATAATTAAATATAATTAATTACAAATGAATCATTTCAGATAAACAAGAAATAATGATTACGATAATACGAGAAACATAAATAAAAGACGAAAAATATAAAGAAAGTAATTACATTCAATAATAATAATAATGAGATACAATCAATTAAACATGAATAACTATGATAAAAGGATAAAAAAAAAAAAAGAAAGAAATAAAGAAAGAAAGAAGATAGACGTACCCATAGTGGCATTCCTAAGTCTAGACAAAGGCAATATGTCTGAAGAAGCATCAGTGAATAGCAGTAATCCAGTGATGCTCCATAAAAGGAAGAAAAGGAAGGAAGTCATTACTATCGATGAACTTGATATGCGATCTCACCGATATATATCCGCTTTTCAAGTGTATACACATATATATTTATATACATATACATATACTCAAGAGACATTAATGAATAATAAAAATGTTCATTACTTTCTTTCAAGCTATCATATCAAAGATGGTGGTTTGATCAAAACCAAACGTAATAGGGCGTGATATAATACCTTTTTTTTTCTTTTTCTTCACTAACAACGCGTTTGTTTCTACACAACGAATCGTGAAAACTCTAATGATCGATCGTTTCTTTTAATGAATTATTTAAAAAAAACGATCGAATCTTTCGTGGAAATTGAAATAAGATGCATCATTGATACACTTACGATCACTTGATTGCACCCTACAAAGAATGAGAGAGAAAGAGAGAAAGTAATACACATTGAGTTTTAACTTATTCCATAAACTTATGATTCTGTCTGGTGAAATTGAAAAATTATCGATTGGATATCGTTAATTGCATATAGATAATATTTTATATAGACTTGATGTACTACTTCGTAAAGAAACATTTTTCATTTATACAGAAATCTTTATCAAAATTATTCACTTTTATATTATACATTTTTTGGAAAAATCTTCAATTTAAGTGTCAAAGTACTTGGTATAGTTATAACTTCGTATATTTATAATAACTTTCCTGAATAATAAAGATTCAATATCATTAAACGACAAAATTGGTATTGGCCATTGAATAATAAGTTCATTTATTTCAGTACATTATTTTGCTTCACATTTTTATCAAACTTATTGCTTTATGGAGTTAATCGACGATGTGTGCACTGAAACACGGCTCATTTATTTACCTAAAAAATGAAATACAAATAAATCAAAATATTACGTTAAATATAAAAGATATGAATAAATATATCTCTGATTAAAGAAGGTTAAAAAGATAAAATATCCTTTTTTTTTCTTCTTTTTTCTTTTTTTTTTGTTGTTTTGATGTTAAAGTATGTGGCACGACGGTGCACCACTTCCGTACGATCATGCAATACGATAAGAAAGACCGCTTCCGTCGACTACATTCTTTACTACTTTCCAACATACGCTTTTTAAGGATACCAACAGAGTAACAGAGATATAAAACAATAATAAAATAAATAATAATTATTTCAAACAATATTATACATACGAATAAAGTCAAATATTTCAAATAAAAATAAGAATGTTTTTTTTTTTTTTTTTTTTTTTTTTTTTAAACTAACATATTCGTTCTTCCTTTAACGGTTTCGCATTCGTGATAATTCGGTCGTCATCGTTAAGGCACCGAGACGTGCACGAAGTAAAGAACTAGAAAGAGAAAAAGAGAGATAGGGAAAAAAACAAGAGAGAAAAAGACAAAAAAAGAACGAAAAAGAGAGAGAGAGAGAAAGAGAGATAGTCGTCTGCTCGATGCTTGGACGACGTTGATTCGGAATGCGATGTGGAGAGATCATACATGATCCTATGTTGTTTGTATGCACATACGTTACCATCATACATCTCTCATGAACACGTTAGTTAAACGTGTGGTAGTTTTCGTTCTTCAGCACTCCTCTATCCTCTCACTTACTCACTCATCTTTTTCCTTCTCTCTCTCCGTCCCCCTCTCCTTCTAGTTTTTCCATCCTCTTTCCCTCTCCTTCCTACTCGTTCTATCTCCCCTTCTCTCTCCCTGTCATTCTATCCTTTTCTTTTTCATGTTGAACGATGAAATAGTAAACGCGTGCGCGCGCGCACACAGTCTCGGGTACGCGGAAAGGCGCTTTTGGATAGCAAATAATTGTGTGTGAGGTCGTAGTGCGATATCGAATAAATAAAATAGTAGAAACGTTCTTTTTCGTGAGATGTCAAGCACCACGCGTCGTTATGATGGGTTGAGTGTCATCCAAAGTAGCGATAGCATTTACCAGACTGTCAGATTAAACGATAGGAATACGTGCTTCAGCATAAGGGGAGATCTCCTCGCGGTGAGAGGAAGACAAGAAAAGTCGTACTGTTCTGCACAAAGTGAAAGTAACAACAAAATTAAGATTTTATTTGGTGAAAATCGACACGTGATAAAACGGTCTCGTTATTTTGATACACAGTATTTCTTTGATCGATCGAGAAGTTAATCGAAAATTATCGTCGATCGATGCTCTTCTATCGATCTAAGCAATGGAGCCCGAGATACCTTTACTACAGGGAATTCTTCTTCTACCGCCGCAAGGAATGCTAGGACAACTCAAGGTTGGTTACTTGGTTAATTACTAACACGATCAAATCTATATCCAGTTGAATTCATTTTTGTAGGATTTAACATTCCCAATTTGTTGGGATACACATTAACCTTGCATCTGGATATGTTACTTTGGAACAAAACTGTATATTATTATTATTATTATTATTATTATTATTGTTCTCACTTTATAATGAAGTTTTCTTCATTCTTCTTACGTGCTATCTCCATGATACTTGGTTAACCAATGTTACTTTGTTACTTTGTAGAAATCATGGCATAAAAGATTTTGTCAGCTATTCAAGGCGAGTAATTATGGAATTGAACGGTTGGAGATCTATGATAATCATGAAGAAGCGATATTGCAATTACACTCACCTCGGATTGTTACTTTGGAAGCTTGCGTTAAAATTGCACCGAGTAATCATTCCCATGTATTTACTGCAAGTATCGATTCTTATGTACATATCTTTGATATTGTTTTAACTTTATACTAGTGATAGTAATAATATTTTTGGTTTTTATTCTTAGGTGGTTACAAAGTCATGCGTACATTACTTTGGATGTTGTTCGGTAGCAGATATGTATAGGTGGATCAGTGCATTCCAATTAGTTGCATTTAAGGATAAGTTGTCTAAGCAAACAATAGAAGAGAATTCAGACTTATATTGCACCAGTGGTGAAGGAGTATTTTCTGTGAAGGTAGTAGAGACAGATGCGTCTAAACGTTGCGGTCTAGAAACAAGAACTTATACCTTGGTAGTTGCTGCTGTTGATATTAAATTGATGGACGGGGATATAGTTTTATTTACATGGCCTTACAGATATATTAGAAGATACGGATATAAAGATGGAAAGTTTACCTTTGAAGCTGGGAGAAAATGTAAATCGGGAGAAGGTTCCTTTTGTTTGGAACACGGTAGCCAGCAGGAAATATTTCGTTGCATGTATTTAAAAATGAAATCTATGAAAAAATTATTAAACGGTGATAATAGTCCAAGCATTGAGTGCAATGACACTCAATATCATGCTGCCTTGTCTATGGAAGCTGGCTCCAGATCCCCACTGCCACCTTCTCCTAATAGCTCTACAAATATAATAGATATAGATTTTTCCGCAATAACTCCTAATTCGCAGAAACAATTAAATTCATCTTCTGGCTCAGATTCAACCACCGCTTCAAAACCTTCTCCACCAATCGTCAGACCAAAGCCCTCTAAACCACCACGCAAAAATATATTTACTGGTTTATTAGATAAAAAAAATATTGACTCGGATAACATTGATACTCCTACTTCTAGTGAACAGAAAACATTCAGTAATACTAATTCCCCAGAATTGTCACAAATAAGTGTTAATAGTTCTATATTAGAAGAGGAAAAACATTCCTATGACTTAGTAGAAGTTAGAAATGATGCTTGGAAGACTCATGGTACAGATGATGTACATCATACGGAAAAATATAATACTTCTTTAATTAGAAATAATACGGATAAAGAAAATAATGAGGATTGTCAATATGAGACGATGATGCCCGTTAACACATCATCTCAAAGTTTATCCAAAAATAAAAACAATGCCAATGAAATAATTAGTATTTCATCATCTATATTTTATAAATCTTGTAAAACCCCTGATACGTCTGACTATGACGAATTATTAAATTTTGGCTCAGCGTCTAAACTTATTCCAATATCCACGCACAAAATTTCAACCGTATCTTCGAGTACTCAGAGTATGCATAATACTGCTCAATCTACGGTATCAAATCCTATAACTGATTCTAATCCGGCCTGGCCCAATTATGACATCGTTGAAGACATTTCTTCTGTTAGATTAGCGGATGACAGTCATCTTGGATATGCTGTTGTTCGAAAAAACATTCCAATTGAATCATCTTCCATTAATGCGAATATGGGGCCAAAGCCTATAGTTTACAATGATAGTGAATACGCAGTGGTATCGAAACCAAAAACGGTGTAAAACCTCCAAAAATTTTCTTCTCCCTAATATAAAACATGAAATAAGCGAATGATTGTAAAGTTGTCACAATTTATATATATATATATTTTTAAAATATGTGAAATAAGATAAGACATATGCTAGTCTATGCAATCATTACAAAAGCATTCCTTTTCTTTTTAGAAGGAAAACTAAGATGGATATTGAACATGAATTCTGTTTTTTTTTTTTTTTTATTTAATATTAATTCATCATTAATATGTCAAGTTAAAAAAAAAATCATTTGTTTAGACAAACTATTAATGTTGATATTACAGAATTCCTATAATGATTATTTATACGCTAGTCTTTCTGACCATTGTCAACATATAGAAATTACTTTGAAAATAGGAATAGATTATTTTAAATATTTGTTTAAGAATTGAAGTATAATGGATTTTTTGTTTCTATTTGTATAAAGCATAACTATATTAATTCAGACATGGTGCCTTTGATAATGGTATAAAAGAAATAATTATATTTGAAATATATATATATATATATCATAGTACACACTTTTTCAAATTTTTTTTATCATCAATTTATAAATCAAAGTGTAATAATTTCTTGAACATGTGCCTTAGTGTACTTAGATATTTAAAAAAAAAACATCTTTATAATAACATTTGTTACGAATGATAATTTCATATTCATTTTCAAAAATGTTATTAATATTTCAAACAAAATGTATTAACTTATTTTTATATCCCTGATGTTGTTATAGACAAACCGATATAATCCTCTTCAAAGATCTATAGTTTATATATCGTAGTATCTATAATAATTAAAAAAATTCATTAACATAGAACAATTTCAAATATAATAAACGATAGATTTTAATTGAAATAAGTCTGCGAAGTGTATCTACATGAATATATGTCTCATGTGCCAAGTTAAGATCTGCCATGCTTTGAAATATATTTTATCAATTTTTAGTTATAATACTTTAAACAAATAATATTACAAATAATAGCAAACATAATTTGCTAATATATACACACGATCTTGATATAATTATATTAAACACGATGCTAAAGAATTAAAAAAAAGATATTCTTTATAGGACCATTGTAATGAAAATATTTTAAGAAAAATATAAAATCAATGATATTGTGTAATATTAATACGTTCTTTATAAGTATTGCATGTCTGTGTCACAGCAAGTTCCATTGAGAATCCAACATCACACATTTGTGACGATAATCAACATGAAAAATAAATTTCGGGCTGTGGTTGGAATCTCTTTTTCCATGATGCGATAACAAACATGTTAAAATTAAAATTGAAACATTTTAAATATATATATATTTGCATTTCTATATATATATATATATATATATATTTACAAAAAATTTATAAATTTACCTTACAACTGAAGATGTAAATATTATAAAATAAATTTATAATAAAGCCTTAACGCGTGTTTTACTACAATTAAATTTTAATCATCGCATACAATTTTGTAATGTTACCAATTTTTACGTATCTTTAATTTGTTTTGAATTAATATCATTTTTGGATTCATCTAAATTCTCATTTTCTTTTTGATTACTCCATTCATTTTTAGATTCATCAATGTTTTTTCCTTCTTCTTTTGGAACAACCAAAAATCCTTCAGGTACGTATTTTATCTTACATACAGTTTCACCTTTCTCTGCTAAGATTTTTTCAATATTTATACCTTTTTTGAATTCATTAAACCATCCTAAATTATCAGCTATAAGATGATTGTTTTTACAACCATCGCAGCGTATTATTACAACACCTTTTTCATATGCTAATTTAGACATTGTTTTACTATTTTGTGTATTACATTTTTTACAAGTGAAAATTATATGAAGCTTTGGTTCTATTTTAGTTAATACTTTTTGATTTTCCTCTTTGTCATTTGAATTAATTGATTTATTAAGATCATTCGTTTGGTTACTTGATTTATCAACATCATCTAAATGATCATCTTTTTGTTGTAACTTATTTGTAGAATATGTTTTTAATGATGCAGATGCATGACGAAATTTGATGACATCTTGTGCACTAATATTTCTTGCCAATCGTACCACTTGGCGTAATCCGAACATTATTTTATTTATTTTATTCTACTAAAAAAAATATTCACATACAGATTGAACTTAATATTATGGACAAATTAATAGATTATAATATTTACTATACAACTTAAGTTTCATATTATGCTCTCTAATGCGTGACTTCTCAAAAGAAATGGCCGCCAAAAATCGAAACATTACAATCGATACCAGTGAAGCCAGATCGTAGAACATTTCTATCCCTTCTCTCGAGCCCAGCACGCCTCGTACACAACGAAATGTTACGTGTCGGTGTGTCGGGAAACCGAAAGAAGCCGAGGGAAGCCGAGGTTAACTGCGCGACAGCGGAGAAATAATACCCCCACCACGCGCCGCAGAGAAATACATAGACATAATACCATGATGATATATCCGCAGTTAACCTCGGCTTCCCTCGGCTTCCCTCGGCTTCTTTCGGTTTCCCGACACACCGACACGTAACATTTCATTGTGTGCGAGGCGTGCTGGGCTCGAGAGAAAGGGTAGAAATGTTCTACGATCAGGCTTCACTGATCGATACATCAGAATCGACTTTGATTTCGATAGTCGTTCCATATCGATAATTGCAGTAATCGTTCGTGTCATTCACCGCCATCTTGTGGCTGTAAAAAGAGATTTAAAGCAAATGTAAACAACAATTTCAGTTTTAAAGTAACCGAAAATAATCATCTACGGTATAATTTATTAAAGTGGCGCCAAAAGTGTTTGTTAATTGAACGATATACGCAAGATAGAATAAATAGTTTTTTTTCGTAAGTTTTGTCTAATTTTACAAATTTGATCTATGTGCGATTAATGTTTAATGAATATCGAAAAAAAAAATAAATAAAAATAGTTTGTTTTTCGTTGATAAAATAAAAAGAAAAACTATTTATAAAAACTTATTTAAATTGCAATCGTACATGACTCAGAATCTATTGTTCAAATGTATATGAATTTAATACAAAAATATAATCATTTATTATTTATGTATGACATTACATAGGAACGTTATTAATAATGTAAATGTTTATATACATACATATATATATAATATATATCATTTGAATATGGAATATAATTCTGAATCTAGTTGTGAAGGTCATCTGAAAGATTTACAAGCAACGAAGGAACCTTCAGAATTAAAAGAAAAAGAAGAACAGCAAGAAAAAAAGGGTGGTCAAGCGTCACATTTTTCTGTAACTTTACCCTCCCATTCTTCGAAAGATGTACCAAAGCAACCAAACCTATCACTAAATGCAGCCAACAAAAGTCTTTCCGCACAAGTAATGGAATATTATGAAAAATATTCCCATAGTTCTAATTTGGATCAATATTTTTCATTACCAGCATCTAATGTACCTACGGAATCTGTTAAGTATTATTACGACGTTTATGAATTCAATTCTAAATTAGGTAATAACAGGCAAGATTGTATTGGAGAAGAATATCATTTACCAGCTTATGTTCCTAGAGAACGACGTCGATGGGTAAGACCACCATTAATTGGTCAGTCTTCCAGCAATGAAAGTTCTACTCTATATATTCAACCGTTGACAAATCCACAATCTCCATCACCAGATTTAAAACACGTCACAAGTTCTGAAAGAAGTTCTGATATTAAAAACGAAAGTCAAGAAGTACTTTTAGAAGGTAACGAAAGAAAGATAACTTCACCTACTTCCAGTGTCGCTTCTCATAAACCTTTGGAATGGGATAGTGGTGCAGATGTTGGATATTACAATTCATTACCTCATAATAAACATAACAATAAAAAATTAAGCACCATAGAACGTATGGCATTGGCTAGAGGATGTTCAGCAGCTCTTAGATTAGATCCAGAAGGTACTACTGAATCTGGTGTCATTGGTAGAAGCATAACGATGCAACACAATTCAAAATCATTGCAAACACCTAAAGCAAGTTCCACTTTAATAACGGAAAATATTTCTGAATCGGAAAGTGAGATTGAAATAACTCCTATTATGAAAAATATGTTACCAGGTATAATCACAGGTAGTGATATCAAATCGGAAGAGAAACATTCTATCAAACATTCTAAATTAAGTCTTACAAATCAAAATGTAAAAGAGAAAGATTCAGGTATGAGTTCACCCAAATCTTCATATATTTTAAAAGTACCTTCTGTAAAATATTCCATGGAAAGAAAACAACCAACAAATAATAAAAATACAGATAATGAATATTTTAATCCAAATTCTCTTTTAAAAAAGAGTACCTCTATGAACACAATAAATGCAACGACTTTTAAAAATATCTTAAAGAGAAGTCAAAGTGAATTAAATTTATATGCAAAAGATAAAAACAAGATAACATTACCGTTAATTTTTAATTCAACATCTTCCATATCTACAGTTGTAAATAAACCAGCTACCTGTGATAAAGTCATACAAACAAGTTTAAATACATTTCCACAAGAATCAGTTGGTATACAAGTATCCGTTCAAGAAGAAGAAAAACCACCATTACCTAAAAGAGGAACTAGTTTGCAAAGATCATTACAATCTATTTTAAAGAATCCAAAGAGTACATACAAAATTCAAAATTCTCAAACAAATAGAAACGATCATAAAAGTGGCGTTACTTCTGTCAGAAAAGAAACAAGAAACAAAACGTATCACAGTAGTTCAGATATATCGCAAAGTGAATCGACTCCTTTAACGCCTCAATTTGATGAGACAGAAAATATCAGTGGAAGAGTTAACAGTTTCGAATATTTTCCTGGTCATATATATGAAAATGTTCCAAATAGAAGTGGTAGTCATGTTTCTTCCATTGATACAGGAGAATCCAATTCAACTTTTCCTAACACTAGTTCTAGTTTGAGCGACAAATTCTGGGGCAATTCTAACAGTTTAGTTAGAGATTTGGAAAGAGGCGTTAATATACTTAAATCATTAGTTGATGCTAATAAATGCGACAAACGAATTAAAAAACGATTGATACATCATGTCGTTAAGAGATTAATTACAGCCAGATATGCTGATGATAAAATTGATCATAATATGGAAGATAATATACCATGGAATCCGGAGGATGCTAGACAAAAAGTTTGTCAAACTGAAAGTTTACATGCTTCAAAAAAGAAACATAGTACTACCACTTCATCCGATAATTGGAAAACCAATACGAAAAGTTGTTCTATACCAAAGTCTATGAAAAATGATCATGAAATATTAACACAAGAAACTTTAGTAAGTAGTAATAGTGATAAATTTGATGGAAATACAGACAGAACCGAGATGGATGGTAGAAAAGCAAGAATGAGTTTAAGAAATGATAACTGTCCACAAAGTAGTAATACCCCAACAGAACAAGATAGGAGTGAAAGTTCGGAATGTTTTGTTCCACAACAAAATCAGAAAGGCAATAAGATGAAGAATACATGTTGTTTGAAAGAGAAATGTAAAGTATTGCAACGAAACGATACAACTTCTACGAATAGTACTCCACCTGATCGTAATAGAATGTTATTAGATGCAGTTGTAAGCAGACAAAATTCGTCTTCGTCTAGTAAAAATATTGAAAATAATACAAATTCTCAATGGAGATTTCCCACTACATTATCGGAAAGACAATTTGAATTGAAACGATGTCACATTTCAAATCCGGGAGATTTAAAATTAGTCGATTATGCTGAAATGGAGAAAAGAAATCAACTTCTCTGGATAACAAATGAAATTAGTCATCTTAGTAATCTCAAAAAGTATGGTTTTTTCTTTTTTTTCTTTTTTTTTTATATGTACATATTTTATACATTATAAGATATTCACAAAAGTATTATTATTTTTTAGATTATTGGAACAGCCACGAAGACTGGAAAGATCTAAAAGTTCACCAAGAAAATTAAATTCTGCATTGTTTAAAACAAAACCAGTTTATGTAATGATGCAAGAAAAATCTGTTGATACTGATTTTGCTTATAAGTAAGTAACGAAATTATAAATTAAAATAACACACATAAATAATTAATATTATATTAAAATAAATTTACAAATTTTAAGAAATCCATCAAATTCAAAAGGAAATTTCATTGGAGAGCAATGGTCATCACATTGCAATTTAGCAACTTGTCATTCTACGGATACCAATTATACCAATAGTATACAACACACAAAAAAACGAAATAGTTCGTCGCAAACAGCTACTGAAATAGTTGATGCACACTCAAGAACAGGAGGGGAAATTATAACAACATCAAAAGGACAAAATACAATGAAATTAGTTAATACGGGTATACAAACATACAATCAAGAAATATTTCCAATTACTTCGTGTATGCAAAACGGAAGCACGCATCCCTCAAAATGTTCGATTCATAAAAGTTTGACACATTCACCAAATAAATGCAAATACGTTAAACAAGAAGAACAAGATGAGAAAGATACTTTACAGAAAGCTATACCAAATGCGTGTTTATATTGTCCACAAGGGCAGTCTGAAAATCCATCGATAAAAAATAGATGTCATAATCCTATACAATATGATTGTGCAAAAGAAGATAGCGAGACAGCTACAGACTCAACAAGATTATCTTGTACAAATAGCAATAGTGTAAGTTCTTCCCAAGAAAACCACCGGTTTATGGATAAGAGTAAAAATCAATTAAAACAAAAAGAAACTAAAAATCAAATAAATGCATCTAAATCAAAGTACATGTGTAATTGTCAGTCTACATTAAAGACTTATCATAATAAATGTAAATGTGGCATAAATAAAATGAATAAGAAGACAACATATCAAAATACCCAACCTGAAACGTGTCCAATACACGTAAAGCCTACAATGGAGATTATTGGTACTGTACCTTTTTGTGAACTATGTCATGCAAGGACTTATAGTGCATATAGAAATTCTTGTACTTGTAAAAAACAAGACAAACCTACTGAAAGTACTTCCATGCCAATGAATGGATGTAAATGTACAAATGAAATAATTGATAAAACACAAACTAATATGTTTACTATGAGATCTGATCGAAGTTGTCTTCAAGATAGTAGACCTGTGACAACTGATTGTAATAACCAACAGAAAGTTGTTAATTTATGTGAATGCTCAAATAATTATTCTTACGAGAATAAGCTCGAAAGTGAGAGTTGTATGCCAAATGTGTCGCACGAAACTTGCTCAAATTTAAAAAAGACTGAATATAACAAAAGATATCATTCTGAAAATTGTTCGAAAGCAGAACGATATCAAATACATACTCGATCTTATTATCTAGTTAACACAGAAGATAATGAAACTTCTCTGCAACCAAAAGTACAAACTAGAGTAAAATGCAACTGCAGTAAGGATTGTTCTTGCCCTAATAAAATAAAAGAAGATAACAGTAACGGTTATAGAACGAAGCATAATACGAAATCAAACGATATTATTAATGATTCTAATTCCAATGATACTAATAAAAATTATAAATATTGCCGTACATGCGGTAAGGTGTATCAAAACACCAGAAAATGTAATTGCCGTCAAACATATCCAAAGTCAGTGGCATATGAAATATCATTTGCCAAGGAGAATAGTCAAAAAAATATTAGCACAATAAAAAAGATGCCATTATCTAATACGAACAATGATGCTATTAAATCGGACAAGTGTACCTGTACCAGTAAAAAGCAAAAAGAAACTAATAAAAATGATAAAACAACTCTTCAGGTAAAGTTTTCAATCTGTCAGTTATTATCTATATTTAATGATGTATATAACGTAGGTTGAAACTTAAATAGTGACAACTATTTATTCACAACTAACATACAAGAGAGTTAAATGTTTGCACCTGTTACTGTCCTTTAAAGTAGTCACCACGTATATGATGTTTAAATGATATTATATTATTTTAGGATTATTTATCAAAAAACAAGCCAGAGTTTGTAAATAATGCTGAAACGCGTAGACAGTACGTGTCCGAGATAGCGCACCTTCGACAATTAAGAAAAGAAAAACGTATTCAATTACTCGCAATGGCCAGTACATCGAATTCAATTAAATTTCCCAAATCATACAAACCAACAGGTAATTTTTAAAATATCATCATTTTTAATTACAATGTTTTTTATGATTCATTAATAAATGATTATTATTTAATATCTAGTTAATGTACAAAAAAGGATTTCTAACGAAGAAATAAAAGAACGATTGCGTAAACGTTACCACAGATTAAACGAGGTACGGGTTAAGCGACGAGAACAAGAAAGGCAAGAGGAAACACGTCGCAATAAGCTCATGGCCAAAATTTTTTGTAAAAAGTTACAGCAAAAAGTTTTAAGGGGCCAAGTGGATCTATCTCAAAGTGTCAGTGTAATATCTAACATGTAATTGTTAGAATCTCACTGATGATCATTCTTTTCATTGAAATTCATTCTTAAACGTATAATATATATATATATATTTATAATTTTACATTGAAATGAAAAAATATCGCGTGAATATTTCAATTGTTTTTTTTTTCTTCTTTGTTTCTTTTCGAAATTTATATTTAATGATATTGCTTATATTATATTATATATATTATATATAATATATAATATATATAATATAATATAAGCATTATATATATATATTATATATTTTTTTTGTTATCTTAGAATAATCATCAATATTTTTATACAGTTGATTCGATACAATTATATCCAGTGTTATTTTGTAATTTTTCGTTAATATTACTTTATAATTTATTTATCCAATTGAACGTTTTACGAATTCATTTATTATAACAGAGTGTACTAGTAATTTATATATATATATATATGTATTTTAAAGTTATTCGCGTGAATGACGAAAATTTTATGAAAAAAATGAACAAATTGAAGATATTATCATTGCATGGATAAAACATAAATATTAAAACGTTTTGCATAACCGAAGTATTAACCCTTAAAGTGCACATGGGGCGTTTGACACCCCAACAAATCTTTGATCTCTCGAAAACGATACTGAATTCGAAAAAATGGGTTATTTGTCTAGTGCCATCTAGTATTAATTCAGATGAGTATTAAACCTATTTTATTTTAAAAAAGATATATCAAAGTACTTTTAACAAAAATTGCGAGGTGTAAATATTAAATAGCGGCGACTTCAGGAGACGCGTTCAAACACGTTGGGGTGTCAAACACCCACAGTGGTGCACTTTAACTAACTTTTACCAAGTGTGCACTTTAAGGATTAAATTTAAGTATTTATATGAGATTAATTTGCTCTTGTCGTTGCTAAGATATTTTCTTATATACACACCAAGCATAGTTAATATAATATTTCATTAAATAGATGAACCTGTTTAATTTAGTCATCAATAATCAAATTAGTTGATCGCGTTGCAAGAAAACAATAAGAGAACAACAAAAAATTATTACTGGTCAGAGCAAATCATTGACCCATGACGTGGAATTTGAAACGCTTATGAAACTAGAAGTAGTTAGTACCTGAAATGAAGTACAGAATAAATTTATTAGATGTAAGTTTTAAGAACAAATTATTATTATTATTATTAATATTATTATTATTAATATTATTATTATTAACAGTTGTAAACTGTATTTTAATGTATTCTTGTCCTTCTTCTTTTTTTTTTGTACGATTTTTAATGTACCTATGTCTCTAAAAAAAATAAGAAAAAGAAAACATATTACTCTTTACTCAAATTATTTTCATTTCAATTAAAGATTTTCTTTTTTCATAATAAAATTAATTCAGTTTATTTCACATTTTCTTCGTTTCAAACAAAAAACAAAAGAAAATACCAATTTGTTTCCATGACCTGTTTTAAATAACACATAAAAATCTTGTACAAGCGTTAAACTATAAAAAAAAAACCAAAAAAAAACCGATACTTACTTAGTAATCATACTGCGATTTCACTTAAATTATCTCTTTCAGTACCATATATAAACGAGTGAACAGCAGAACTTTCAAATCAGTTAGAAAAGTTTCAGTTTTCAACACTTCTAAGATTGTTCTTAATGTTTAATAATTAATTCTATTTTTTTGTTTTTTTATTCTTTGATTATCCTTATGCAATCAAATATTTGATTCTAATGTACAAATTTGATTCTTTAACTCTGAAGAAATCATCCGTATTATCATCCCTTATCAACGATCATTATAGATAAAATAAAACATAAGAATTATTTCATAATATTTCAGTGAAAACACCGTATTACATATTACATCTTTTACATTACACTTTTCACATCCAAGTAAAATCAACTATTCGAATAAAACATTATTGAACTAAAAACGACAAAAAAAAAAGAAAAATGGCTCCACAAATAGATAACACTAATGTTACATTAGATCGAATACTAAAGGAAAAATTTACATCTGAATTTCGTAGTGGTTACGTTACTGTTAAAGATGTTTGTTTACCAGAACGTTATAAACATTTTGCAGAAGAAATAGAAAATTTTGAGATTAGAGATGACGATGTTTGGGTCTGTACCTTTCCAAAAACTGGTGAGAATTTGTTAAATGAATAAAAGTACTAAACTAAAATCAACATTTAGAACACTCGATTACATTAAATTGAACATTATTGAAATGTTTAATTTGTTATTTGATTAAATTCATCAGGTACCACATGGACACAAGAAATGATTTGGTGTATCGGTAATGATTTGAATTTTGAAAATGCGAAACAACAACTATTGTCTGAAAGATTTCCATTTTTCGAGTAAGTTATTAAGATTTAATTACAAATCATTTGACAATTGTTTAATGAAAGGTTTGTCATATTATTAGGGTCTCAATTATATTCGATTTTGAAAGATCGTCCCATATTTCAAATGTAGCGGATCGCGAGACAATGAAAAATAGCGTGAATTTTACAAAAAATCAAACAAGTCCGAGATATATCAAAACTCATTTACCGTTTCATCTACTTCCACGACAATTAAGATCTGGCGAGAAGAAAGCACGTATTATCAATGTTATCAGAAATCCAAAGGATACGTGCATCTCTTATTTTCATCATAGCAAATTGATCGAAGGCTATCGCGGTGATTTCAATGAATTCTGTCAATTATTCTTAGGTGGAAAACGTGAGTTACTTTTTAACAATTTGAAATATTAAGTCGAGTCATAAGTAACTTCTTAATCTATTGTTCGTATTTACTTATTATAAGTCACCGAAACAAACGAATTTTTGATTATCACTGACTATCTGACTCGACCTAATACATAATATACTTTAACACCAAACATGCATCGTATTATTAATCTTATGTTCTTTTACAGTTTCTTATGCACCCTATTGGAAACACGTCCTTGGTTATTGGAACAAGAGAAACGATATGAACATTTTGTTCTTGAAATACGAAGACATGAAGTCTGTAAGTAAATCAAGTGTAATATTTTACAAATGAGTTATTATTTTTCTAAAGAATGTGCAATTTGTTCTCTTGACTATTAAAATATTGCGTTAAATGTTAAAGAAGAAAAGGCACTTTAACACGAGAGCTTTTTTTAAATACATTTTCATATTCAATGATTTTTGTTTGAAAGAAAGATAATATTTGCAGGATCTTCCATCAATAATCAAGAAAGCGGCAACATTTTTAAATAAACAAATTACGAACAATGAGGTGCAAACTTTAGCCAAACATTTAAGTTTCAATAATATGAAGAATAATCCTGCGGTAAATTATGAAGAGATAATTGAAAGTCACAAGAAATTTAAATTAACCGTCACGGATGGTACATTTATCCGTAGTGGAGAAGTTAATCAATGGAAGGGAGGAAAATTGTCAATTGACGTGATTGCAAAATTTGACGAAATGACCAGAAAAATGTTCGATCCTGTTGGTCTTCATTTCGTTTAATTGAATGAATTCATTTTGAAAAATTTACTCATTTAAATACTCCATTAACATTGATCATAAAAATATGAAATATAAACAATAATTATCTACAATATTATTCATACTAGAAAAAAAAAATGTATACAAAATGAAAATACTAATCGTTTTATCATCATCTTTATCTTACATTGAATCTTGATCGTCATAATGAAAAACGTCATCGTCGTCGTCGTCGTCATATTGAATAGAAGGTAATAACTTTGTCAATGTAATTTCGGACAATTGTTTAAGTGAAATCTTGGTCAATGGTGTTGGTAGATAAACGTTGCTTCCTTTTTCAATTAAAATAATAGCTGCGTCTCTTTTTTTTCGTAAAATTGCAAGTTGTAAAGCAGTGAATCCTGTTCGATCTTGAACAGTAAAATCGGCGCCACGATTCAATAGCAACGAAATGATCTCCAAGTTAGATAAAATAACTAATAATTAATACATATATTAATTGAATTAAATTACACGGTTAAATAATATTTCGTTTTTTTTTTTTTTTAATAATAAATACTTTTTTTTGTATTCGTTATATTTGCCTATACCCACCGGCTATCATTAATGGTGTTCGATCATCGCAATCTCGAGCATTGATGTCTAAACCAATGTCTAAAAGAATTTCTACATTTTTTATACGTTCTCCAACTATGGCGTATTGAAGACAAGACCAATTACGACTGTAAATATATACATATATATATATATATATAATAATGATTTTCTGTTAAAATCGTACACCGTTACCTTTATTAGATTTTTACTTAAAAATTATTAATATAATATGTTTAGAATAAGAAATAAAATCTTAATTAAATATTTAATTAATTTCATTTGAAAGCTGTAATATCTATTAATATATTTCTAATATTAAAAAATTTCGATCTGATATAAATTATTAAAAAAAAAAAAAATATATTTAATTTAAAGTCAACACTGATCAGGAACGATAAAACAATTTCAAATAATAATAGAATACATTGAAGTGTTCGATATATCTCTATATATAAAAACGATTGTTAATTAATCGAAGAAAAATGTAAATTGTTATTTAAAAACACCTAGTATATGATAAGAGTACCGTCCTCTTCGGAATCCACCTTGAGACTGGCACGTTGTCCTCTGTAAAAGTTCTTTTATTCAATGATGTTTATATGACATTCCGAATGTTGCGCATGCGTGTAACGATAATAACGTTCCTAATAAAAGGAATTTAACATTATAACATTGTAATTTGAATATTTTTTGCATTCTAATGTAATTTTTTTTTCTCGTTTTTCGTTATACATATAAAACACATTATATATCAACAATTTTTAAGTAAAAAAAAATCTAATCTAACGGTGTTGTACGATTTTAATCAGATAATTACAAAATTTGATATCAATTTTCTTTAGTTTGCTCACACGTCGAGTTTGTTAGGATTGGCGCCTTTTTTTAATAACAATTGTAATATTTCTGTATTTCTACTTGTATATGCAGCACTCATAAGAACTGTTTTTCCACAGGGTTGCGTAGTAGTATCATCCAAAGAGACCGGAATCTTATCAAGAAGCAATGCCAAGATTTGAACATCCTCACGACGAACAACTTCTAGAAGGGGTGTTTTTAAATCGAACGTGGGATAATGCAAATTTATTGAATGACTGGAACTATGGAAAAATATACACGATTTAATTATTTACACAAGATTATGAAATTCAATTAACGTATCTACTTTTTTTTCTTACATCTTTGAAATGAAATCATTAATCTCCTTAAAACTAGCAAATCCAATGATTCTGATGAGTTCCTCTTCGATTGTATAACCGGGCACTAAAATATCTTTAACGAAACAATAAGATTGACCATCGTAAAAGGACAATATCGAATTATTTGAAATGATTGACATACTTGATTTTGAACAACTAACGAAATAACATTAAGTAAATTTAATATTGTAACAAGTACCGTTCTGCGCGTGACAATTTAAATCGATCAAACGTTTCTACCTTGAACAGTTTAACACAATTACTATTATAATGCATTAAAAAAAAAAAAAAAGAAAAGACAATAAATAACATAATTCCGTAATAAACATTTTAATCTTACAACAAACTTGCAACTAACATCTCGTTGATTAAAATAAAATAAGATGTTAACGATACGCGTAAAAATCCAATCGGATATCCGATTTGGAATAAATTATAAGAATTAAATCTCTCGATGCGAAAATGTCATTGAATATTAATGAATGCTTATCAAGGATCATTGTAACTTATTATAAGTCAATGACTGTTAGTATCAAAAGAAGAACCGTTGGTTGATTCGATGAAAATTGAAACAAGACATTAAACTCAACGGGGGATTCAACTGGAAACAGTGTTGAGAGGTAGACGTGCAAGCAATCTTAACACAGTGCATATACTTTCTCTTCTGAAAAGAAGGCTGAAACCACTTAGGCAAAGCCAGTTGAAGGTGCGTTGGCTCGCACTACTAACCATTCGGAGAACTAAAGTCAACTTTCTACCGAGATACTTGGTTTCAAGTAACGAATCATCAAGCAACGTTCGAACAAACTAACTTGGTCTTCCCCATCGCGTAGTTCATTTCATTTCGTATGGTTTAGTATATCTAAAACGTGAGTTGGTGTGTGTGATTCTTTTATTATTATCGAGAAAACGAACACATTTATCTTTTATTTTTATATACATAATTTTATATACATTATCCATCTTGTTCGTTTTTCACGATCAATCTGATCTGACAACAACTCACATTTTCCTAAACTTCGTGGGAAAGCTCGATAAAATGAAGCTATGGCAAATACCATAAGAACGTGGAGAGCGAGCGCACTTATGGCGTGTCTGTTTCTCTCTTATAACGGTACGTGTTGGTCATTGATGTCTCTTTTTATTGAACAGCAGGCACGTTCATTCTTCGAATCTGATGAATTTTATTCTATCAAGAAACTATCATTAAAAAAATTATTTTTCTTTTTATTAACTCTACCTTATTTAGATCATTGTTTGATTATTCGAAACAAAGGGATAACAAACGTTGATCGATTCGATTCCATCTGATCGAATATCGATCGATTTCACTGTCATTCAAATTCCGTTATGAGTCATTTTAATGTAATCAAATAAAATGATATATCGATCATCATTGTCTTTAGAAAAATAATTTTATGTTTTTCCTTGTTCTTTTTTTTTCATGCAAAAAATATTCCTTTACAAAATTACAAAAAACTTGGTATTATTTTGAAAGCTTAACAAAAAGAAATAGATCCGAGTGAATGAATAAAGAAACCCAAGTATATGTAATTTCCGATCGGCAGGTTTAGCACAGGAAAATGACGAAGAGTATAAGGGAAAGTATCTTGGAAGGTTGAACGCGTATCACCATCAGGTATCTGGTGAGATATACGCTGTAGATGAATACACGTTGCTTCTAACTTCCTTCAGTTACGATGGTAACGGAGCAGATACATTTTTCTGGGCTGGTGCATCAAATAGACCAGGTCCTCAAGGTTTCATCGTACCTGACGAGTGGGGCAAGTAAGCAACCTTGGATAATTCTATTCATTTTCATGATCTTTTTAACTGTTTTACAATCATTTTTAGGACAAATGTACTCGGTCGTTATCTTAACAAGGATTTTACATTATCTTTACCGGACAATAAAAAGATAACAGATATTAAATGGTTCGCCGTATACGATTTGGCTAGTCAGGTTGTTGTTTTTTACAATAATTGATTTATAATTATTTATACTTTTATCATTTTTAACGAATTATTTTCACAATATTGTAGAACACGTTCGGTGATGTTTATATTCCTGAAGAATTTGATCCACCAGCACCACAAAAGATCTCTCAATTATCTAAAAGATCTCACGATGTATCATCCCAATCGATAGTAATCTTGGATTCGAAAACTATTAGTATACCGCAATTCACGTATGATGGGAATGGGAATGATACGTTTTTCTGGGTTGGTTTAGGCCCTCAACCTTCCAGTAAAGGAACCAAAGTTCCCGATGAGTATGGATAGTAAGTATAGAATACATGTTTATAATAAACTTTGTTTGAGGAATATTTTAATCATCAATATTCATTTATTTGTCATTAGTTTGGATCCACTGCGTGCCTATAAAAAAGAAGATATAATAATTCAATTGCCAGGAGAGATGACTGTCTTCAACGTAGATTGGTTGAGCGTATTTGACTTGAAAACTAAATCGAATTATGGTTCGATTATTATACCAGATGGTCTTAACGTACCACCATCTTTAGTTAAAGTAATATCATTATTTTTTACAATATTAAAATGTACTCATATTATTTCAAGTAAATTTATTTAACATATTATTTAACGATAGGTCGTCAAACATACTCAATCTTTACCGAATTGTGTTCAACTTCATAAACGGTATCAAATTAGCTGGGAAATCTTTGGTCCCCAGATTACAATTCAATTAGCTGGTCAAGTTGGTGAGTAATTTTATTATCTAATAAAATCAATTGAATTATTATTAATCGGATTTTTATAAAAGACTTTAACTTTAACAAATAAATAGAGGAAGACGAGTACATGGCTTTTGGTTTATCCGGTTCTGAAAGTTCCAGTCAAATGGAAGGTGCAGATGTTACCGTTGCTTATATGGATGGTACTCGTGGTTATGCCACTGATTATAATATTACCGCAAAAGCACCGGTACGTGTGTCTACTTACATTTATAATTTCTACTGAAAAAAAAAAAAATATATAAAAATTACTTACAATGATTGACAATTTGTAAAACAGTGTGGAAAAGTTCTTGGACAATATAAGGGTGTTTGTAAGGATGAACTCTTAGGTGGACAAGACAGCAATCAAATGTATACCGCTATAAGAGAAAATGGCATCAATATTATTACATATAGGCGAACGCTTAATTCATGTAAGTACAAATGCAATAATAGTTCCGATAAACTGTAATTACAAAACAATTTGTTATTTTTCAGCTGATCCAGGAGACAAAGAATATCCTACAGATAGACCGGTTTATGTAATTTGGGCATTGGGAAAATTAGATGAAAATAAAGAACCTAATTTTCATGATTTCTATCCTAAAGGTGATTTGAAATTGGAATTGAATCGTCAGGAACCGGAGAATACCTGTATGGATTTTACGGAAAATAATGAAAAGCTCATGTAAGGATTAGACTTACTTCTATTAATAATAATAATATTATTCTCGCCATTGTTCTCGTCCCTGAGCGCGATCCTTCCATTCGTGGTCTTCGTATCCTATTTCTTTATTAATAATAATATACTACAATTTATTTTATTTGTATGAAACTTTCTTTTTTTAGTATACCTTGGGACAAAGCAGAAATATTTGATAGAAGTATCCGAACTTTTAAAGCTACTATTGGACCGTCTGGAGGAAAGAAGGGTTACCGAGGAATAACAGGACAAACATCGATGGGATACGCGTGGTACATTGAAGGACAATTAATACCAGAATTGTACTTACGTAGAGGATTAACTTACAACTTCGTTATCCATGGTGGTAATAATCCTCACAGTCCTAATTTGTATCATCCTTTAATCATTACGGATGAACCTCACGGGGGTTACGACAGGCTCAGCGACATTGCACAAAGCAAAGTAAGAGTATTGGCAGGTGTTGAATTTACGAGAAGAGGCCGACCAAGGCCAACGGCAGGTATACCTTGAATAATAAAATAATTATTATTTAAAAAAAAAAACAAAATCATTCACTTTGTATTAATCGATAAATTGAACAAAGTATATTTCACTTACAGTGGGTCCACTTTGTTTGAGCAAACATGACGGTAGAGACAGAAGATTGGACGATGACTTTCCATCATTCAAAAAGTTTAACAGGAGTCTTATATATGTTTGCGAACCTGGTAAATGTTGGATTGATGTGTATCTTCTGTAAAAATATGATATTTTTATGATTATATGATTTCATTAATCATTTTATTGTATAATCGTATTTTTTTTTTTTTTTTTTTTTATAGGCGAAGGAGGTATTCTAGAAGTTACACCTAATACAACGTGGCCGGATATTGTTTATTATAATTCTTTTACACATGCAAATATGGGATGGAAAATATACGTCGTTGATGCTTATTCTCGAAGTGAAGCAATTTTACATAATTTATCGCTGACTATTGGAATATTGGCTGTGTTTTTTCGTCTCTTATAAATGTCGATACCAATTCAAAAAATTAATCGTCCCTTTTTATTATTATGCGAGAATGAAATAATTTTCACATATTATCGTGAAAACTTGGCAAACAGTAATCTTTTAACATTATAATGTTTTTTTTTTTTATTTTATTTTTTATTTTTTATTTATGATCGAATGACTCAGGTTTATCATATGAGAATCACATCATCTTTCTTTTTTTTTTATATTTCATCTATGTATTGTGTTCCTTGCTTATTATTATAGTGCCAAAGGAAACCATTTTATAACTGCCAAAAGTAATCCATTTTATATATTCTTCGTACATTGTTAATTATTTTCATGAAATTGTGATCGAAAATAATAATTGATAAGACGATTGATTTGATATATTTATTAAAAAATAAGTATCAAACATAATACTCATATGAATATTAAGTTTCATAAATATTATATATTAAGTACTGCATATATATTTATTATATCACATGATAATTTTGATATAAGATGTAAGATATAAATAATTATGTTAAGTGTAATTTCACTTATTTTTTTATCTTTCAAATGAAACCTTGTTAAATAAACAAAATACTATCAACAGAAACATATACATCCGACATTTGACAGAATTTTATATACACTGATTTGAATTACCGACAGAGACACACCTCGCTTGTACTAAAAAGATAAAATATATTTTTGGCGCCAATTTTAAATTCAAATGCATTATAATTACCTTATGTTATGTTTTTATCAAATTTATTGAATACATGAATATTGTTTGATTATTATTAATTATTTTTAAGTTCTTTCGAATAATCTTATACCATAGAAAGAATATTAAAATACGTAAACTCGTAAAGTATTAACAAAGATAAAATATCGCTGTCGATAATGTAAATTCCTGTATATGCAATTCTGTTACATTTTAAATCCATATTTATCCGTTGATAATATATTTAATCTACATACTTTCTTGTCTATATTCAATGTATGTTCTGTTTATTTTTTGATCAGTATTATTATAAGTAAGATTCAAATATATATTTTGACATTTCCGATTGAAAGTTAATTTTTCTACAATTAAAATGCCATGTGAAATGATAACACTTCAACTTGGCCAATGTGGCAATCAAAGTAAGGAATATGTCATTTTACATAATAAAACATATTTTAATATACTATTATAATGATATTATGTGTAACATAATCTATAAGATAATAAAACCAAAAGAATTTTGTTGATTAAAACAATGATTGTATTTTAACATTATGTAAACTTTCAAACGAAAATTAAATGTTTCTTGCATTGTTTAAAATACTTCATTATATTACTAATGTATGTTGTTAATCGTATCATATTTTTGATAAATGAATTTCATATTATTTCAATATTTATTTGATTTCAGTTGGATTTGAATTTTGGAAAAGATTATGTGCAGAGCATGGCATCAGTCCAGAAGGAATTTTAGAAGATTATGCCATAGATGGAACTGACAGAAAAGATGTCTTTTTTTATCAATCAGATGATGAACATTATATACCACGAGCTGTATTATTAGATTTAGAACCTAGAGTCATTCATACTATTATGAATTCTCCATATTCAAAAGTAATTGTCTGATAACATAACAACTCAGTTCATATAAATAATTCATACATTTATACATTGTCAATAATATTTTACTAATCTTCTATATCTATTCAGCTCTATAATCCAGAAAATATCTATTTATCGAAACATGGTGGTGGAGCTGGTAACAATTGGGCATCTGGTTATCATCAAGGAGAAAAATTACAAGAAGAAATTTTTGATATTTTAGATAGAGAAGCAGATGGAAGTGACAGTTTAGAGGTATACAATTTAACAATTAATTTATAAATATATATTTATAAAAGATGTATAAATATATCTATGTTTATTTCAGGGTTTTGTCTTTTGTCATTCTATAGCAGGTGGTACTGGTTCTGGTATGGGATCTTTTATGTTAGAATCACTTGCTGATAGATTTCCAAAAAAGTTGATTGAAACATATAGCGTTTTTCCAAATCAGGATGAAATAAGGTTACTAGGATGTATATATATATATAGTTACAGTATCTTTAAATAATATTTTTAGTATGATTATGTTAATTTTATACTATTATCGTATATCTTTTCTAGTGATGTTGTGGTACAGCCATATAATTCTTTACTAACACTAAAAAGATTAACTCACTGTGCGGATTGTGTTGTTGTCTTGGACAATACAGCTTTAAATAGAATTGCATCAGACAGATTACATATACAGAATCCTACTTTCACACAAATTAACAAACTTGTATCTACAATAATGTCTGTCAGCACCACAACACTTAGGTATCTTTGCTCATTTATTTATTCACATGTATATATATATATTTCTGTACATTGAGCTGTTGTATTTTGATTTATATTCATATTTCATTTGATTATACAATTATAATGTTTTATAGGTATCCTTCGTATATGAATAATGATTTAGTTAGCTTAATTGCTCCATTGATACCAACTCCACGTTTACACTTTTTAATGACAGGATATACACCTATTACTACTGACCAGGAGGTACATGTAAATATTATATTAAGTATATATTTCAATTTGATTTTTTTTGTTTTGTTTTTTTTTTAATCATATTAATAATTAATAGCTTATACAAAATAAATCAAAAATATACGAATATATTTTGAAGTTATTTATATTTTTGTATATATTTATATTTATATAGGGTGCATCTGTAAGGAAAACATCTGTTTTGGATGTAATGAGACGTTTACTGCAACCAAAGAACATGATGGTTTCTGCTGCATTAGATAGAAATGCTGCTCACTGTTACATATCTATATATATATATATATATATATATATATATATATATATATATATATATATATATATAATCTTTCAATAATATAAAATGATAATTTATTAAAAGTACCAGCAGTTCAATCATATTCTTGTATTTTTGTTAATATGGAAATGAAATAGGGTGAAGTCGATCCGACACAAGTGCATAAATCTTTACAAAGAATAAGAGAACGAAAGTTAGCACAATTTATACCATGGGGACCTGCTAGTATACAAGTTGCTCTTTCTAGAAAATCACCATATATACAAAGTACACATCGTGTATCAGGTTTAATGTTAGCCAATCATACCAACATATCATCGGTAAGTATACTTGAATAATACTCTTAATCAAATGAATTTAAATATACTGATAATTACTGTATACTATTTCAGCTTTTTGATCGAGCATTACAACAGTATGACAAATTACGTAAGAGAGAAGCATTTTTAGAACAATTTAGAAAAGAAAAAATGTTTGAAGAAAATCTTGACGAATTGGATAGTTCAAGAGCTGTTGTTGAAAATTTAGTCAAAGAATATCAAGCAGCAACTAAACTCGATTATTTAACGTGGAGTCCAACTAAAGAACAATAAAAATATCTAAGTTATTTAATATGCGTAGCATATTTCACACAATTTAACACATTACTTTTTTTTAATCATTTTATATTAATACAATGTTCTGCGTGTATTTTAGTGCCATACAACACTATTCCATTGCAAACTTAAATGCAGTTGTTCTGAGATCATTAATTATCTAATGAAGTATTAACATAGTTTTATATTATATATATATATATGAACCAGTTAGTTTAAGTTCGCCATATTTTCTATAAGAGTTGTTATAATAATAATAATAATAAAAAAAATATCATTTTTTTAAATAAATAAAATTGTATGTTACGCATACAAATGATAAAACACAAGGTATTCAATTTAATATTATAATATGTTATTATGAATTTTCCTTTTTAAGAAATGAAACGATTTATTTACTAAAATAAAAACATTTTACATATGTGTTTTTTGTAATTAACATTACACAGAGTGGAAGAGCAAATAATATTAATTATGACGTAATTTATTTATAAACTTGTCGAACAATATCTTTATATATTTTATATATATACTTTGCAACATAAAATATTATAATGAGAATAATATTTAAATTTATATTAGCAAATGTAACTGTAATGTTATATTCCATTGAATAATATTAACACACCATATACATATATATATATATATATGTATGTATGTATGTATGTATATATACGTGTGTATATATACATACGAAGAAAAATGAGATTGTAGTTTAATAAAATAATAATAAAAGTGAAACAAAAAAATTCATTTGTATATAGATTTGATCACGTACAGTATCTTTGTATGTATATATATATATATATAGTATTACATTTATTAATACATAGTAAAAGATCCTAAAGGGATTCGAGGAGTACAAATTTAGACCCATGCTGCAACAACACATAATGTTTACATATTAAATACAATGAATAAATGTTTTATTAAATAAATCATTTGTTCTCTTTTATGTGATTTATTATTTTCTGTTTTTTTTTTTTTAAAGAAGTTTAACTTTAGTAGTGTTCTAATTAGTGCCCACCATGGTTGAGTTTAGTTACAGTTAACATTATAATTTATATTCAAAATGCAAAAAACTTAATATGGTAAAATATATATGTGTGTATATATATATATATATAATATATAGTATAATAATGACAATTTTTGTTCATGCTATAAAATTAATATGAATAGCAATATAGTATTTATCTTATAAACTCTCTATACAGCTAACAATCTGTTTATATAAAAATATATAAACAAAATAATATATATTTTATATATTTTTTTTTTTTTTAGCAACAAGTGCTATATTATATAAATATATATATATATATATATATA